CATATTGATTTATTAAAATATATTAATTTATTAAAAAAACCAACGATATTTTTTATATATAACAGAATGTAAATATAATAAAATTTTATAAAAAAATACGATTTTAATTTTACTTAAAAATATATTTTACGCGAATGTCCCGCAAAACGACCGCAATTGGAAATCTACCGTGTGGGTGTATAACATTATAGGGCAAGGCGCTTAATTATCACGTATTATGTTTTAATACATAATAAGGTACTCCAAAAATAAGAAATAATACAGATGAAACTACAGTTGTGGCAATTGTAATCACTTATCTTGTAGTACAACATTCACAGAGATGATTATCATCACAATGTTGGTAGAATCTTTTTCCCATATTAACGACTCTAATATAAATGAAAACTATACTTGTAGAACAAAAATGAGCAAGGCTATCATCAATGTTTTAGGACCTAATTCCAGGAGGTCAATTCTTGACGATTTGAAAAATGGGCATACATATGCAATTCTAACAGATGCATCTAATAAGGGATTTCATCAAAATTAAGGTCGTTTCAATAAACTATTAATTTTTTTCCCCTCAAATAGTGAAAAATCCAAAGACATAGCCATAGGCGGCCAAGATTTTCCTAAGGGGGGAATTAAAAAATTACTGGGAGCTTTGCCCCCAGACCCCATTTTGGGTGGGCCTTCGGTTCGCTTTTGCCCGGCCTTTGGCCAGGTTACCTTAGTCTATATTTTACATGATAGGAGGTTAATTTTAATATAAAAAATACGCCTGGAACAAATATGAAATATATTTTTATTAGTTTATGTAAAATATATTAAATAACTTGTTATACATTAATATAAAAGCATGGTAATAATTTATTCCAAACAAGTATTAAAAATTTATTTATAAAAAGTAAGTAGACATATAGTTTATATTTTTCTATTATATAGAATTAGTTACAAGGTAAAATTTCACTTTGACAGACATATTTGACAGTTAGAGATTATATTACAGGTAATATTTTAACAAATTTTACTAAACAAGGCTCTTGATAATAAATAGCACAATTTACATTCAATTATTAAACGCCATCTCTTTATTTTAAATAGAAAATGATATTAAAAATTAATCTTCATATTATTCATCCCACAATGTCTTTAAAAGATATTTTCTGTCCTTATCATTATTTAATAGTTTTATGTAAAATTTATAATTCGCTATATTGGTAAAAATTACTTGGTTGTCATATGATAATTGATAAAATTAGATATACTGTAAATCTACGACATATAATATTCCACTGTTTGTATTGTGCTTTAATTTTTTTATTTAATTTATGATTTAATTTTATCAATAGTTTTGTAATTATATTTTACTTTTATTAAGATATAATTAAAATTACTCACTTTATAAAAAATTATATTTGATTTATTAAATTATTTAGTAATTTTATGGATCTATTATTATAATTATAATACATTTCACTATTGTCTTAAGACTTATCTTTGGCTTATATTCCATTTCTTAAAAACATTTTTGGTTTAATTTTTTATATATAAATGCTTTTTTCCAAAAATTTATAAATTATGATGAATAGTTTTATAAAAAAATATCAACTTTTACATTCTTTCTTTCAAATTATTGTTTAAGATATTTGCATACATTTTTGGGGGTCAGGAGGTAGGGGAAGAACTAAGGGGGATATTTTTATTAGCTTAAAATGATATTCACAAAAAGTGATAAATTTCTGAAGGGGGAAAAATTTCCCCTTGCCCTCCCCCCATGGCTATGACTATGGACATAGCTAACCATATAATGGTAAGTATAGCAGATTCGAGATTAAAACAGAGTGCATTTACAGAATTGAGTCAGCAAAATGTTGGTTGTCATATGTTTCTAATACACGCCATCGATAGAATTTTAAAATTTTATAAACCTTTAAAAAAATATTTATTAAAAAATATTATAAAATCCTAATATTTTGAAAATTTTTTTCAATAATGAATGGCAAAGGTATATTTAGGAATGATTTCACATGTAGGAAATCTACTACATGCTGTTAATGTGTAGTTGCAATCAGAAGAATCTTTACAAAGATTCACAAAATTATGATGCAGATGTGTTCATCTTTACAATTGACAATAAATTTTATGGCGCCATTGCTAAAACTTAATTATGTTTTATTTGAGATTAAATATGTTTACCGTCGTTTGTTGTGATATTTATAAAATTCCTGGATTGACATATTATATATTTGTTTAACCATTAGCTCGGCCTCTAATGTTGTTAAAGCAATCCGATTTCTCTCCTTTTTCCAGACAGTCCTCATCAGGCTAAAAATGCGCTCGGATGAGGCATTAGAATGAGGTAGGGAGAAGACATACTCGCATATTTTTCCAAGCATGGGGATTTATCGTTATTACGAAAATATTCTACCCATTTCTCCTCTGCTTTTAGACCATCTAACTTTAAATATTTTGGCGAATCATAAAAAATAGAGAGAATTACAATCTCCTCAAACAAGAAATCAATGTCTTTCGGTATTTTTAATATATATAAATTATAAAAACTATCAATTGATGGTTTCTGTTCCAAAGTCATAATATTTATACATTTGTAAATAGAGTTATTAAAATCAAATTTTGATTGTAAATATTCAAAAATTGTCTTAATAAAAATATCTGCTTCATTTAATAATGTATTAATTAGAGTATTATTTGAACATTTTATTATAATATTTTTAGCAATAGCGCCATAAAATTTATTATGAATTTTTAACTGTAGAGATAAACCGAGCTGTAGCATGATTTTGTGAATCTTTTTTATAAAGAATATTCTGATTGCAACTGAATATTAACTGCATGAAGTAGATTTCATACATGTGAAACGAATCCCAAATATTTTTCTGCCATTTCATACTCGAAAAAATTTTTCAATATTTTAGGACAGCTTTTAAAATCTTTATTTAAGAAGTATTTTTTTAAGGGTTTGTAAAATTTTAAAAACTTTTTATACATTAACTTTTTTAGTTGATGACTAAATTCGTTAAAACATTTCATCACAATTATTTCGACATCCACAGATAGTACATTTATGCCTTCTTGCAAGAATTATGTAGTGGCATATACAGCCAATTGGTATTATTTCATTATTGTGCTGCCTCAATCCGGTAACTTTGGTTTTTGCCAAAATTTACAGAGGCATTATCAGCGCAGAAAGCTGACATGCTAATCATTGATAACCCTGAATCAGCTATATTTACTTATGTGGCTAGCTACATCGTTGGATTTTTCACTATCCGAGGAAAAAATTTTAAGTTTTATTGAAATGTACTTATTCTTGTTGAAATAGCGAAGGATCGAGGGAAATGTTTTAATATTTCCCTTATTAGTTGCATCTGTTAGAATTGCATATGGGTGCCCATCTTTCTAATCGTCTAGAATAGGCCTCTAGGATTCAGGTACTAAAACACTTGTGATAGCCTTGCTCATTTTTGTTCTGCCACAATGCACTTATATTGGAGTCGTTAAATATCATGAGAAAAAGATTCGACCCACATTATGATGATATAGCTCTGTGAATGTTGAACTACATGATAGATGTATACGATTTCCGCAAATGTAGTTGCATCTGTATTATTTATTATTTGAGAATATTTTTGTATTGTGTATTGACTTATATGAACGAAATGATGTTGATTTATTATTGGATAAAAATAAAACAGGATAGAAAGAAATTTACAAACTAGACATGTTTTTCAAATAAATATTTAAAATTATTTTAAAAATAGAAAAATAATCAATTAATGTCTCTCAAAATTATTATTTATATATTAAAAATATTAAAATACTAAAAAAAAAAATTGCGGGAGAAATTAAAAAATTGAGGTAGATTTTTGCGGGAGATTTGCAATTGCGGTAGTTTTGCGGGAGAGAAATGTCTGCTTGTAAACTAAAAAATTTCGGGAGTTTCCCACTGATGGGGGGGGGCATGGCAACCCTGATCTGAACCCGGTATTATTATTTTATCGAAACCTAGATCCAAACCGATATTCGTTTTATTGTTTAAAAAAGCGACAATAATTTTACAATTTTGAGCGAGTTCAACAAAGTGTTCAGTTATTTTTTTTAAGTAGTTATAATCAAATTCAAAATTGTAGTTTATCATATGAATTCACCGGCATAAAGCACTATTTACGAAAAATGTTATAGGTACTATTTTGTTCAATTCAAATAATTATGTACGCAATTATTTCATTAAAATTCCTTTGACTAATATTTGTAAAAATGTTGAATAATACAATAATATGTATATATTATATATATCTATCACTGATAATAAATTAAAAATGTTTTATAATAAATTAGTTAAATTATATATAAAGTAACTTGTAATGTAACTAGTTACTTTTAAAGTTAGTCTAAATCTAAACTGAATGTTATGTGTTACATAAGAAATTAAAAATATTATAAGTAAAAATAAAAAACAAGGCACCACCGAGATTCGAACTCGGGATCTCCTGTTTACTAGACAGGCGCTTTAACCAACTAAGCCATGGCGCCACTGCAAACTTTACAAAAATATTTTGTTATATTTTAATAAATATTTTCAGATTATATAAATAATATTATTGTGATATTGACCTACAAATATAATAAAAAACTAGATATAATTTATAAAATCAATGGAATTTTATTGCAAAATTCTTTTTATTTATAATATTACATCCTAAATAATATAAAAATTTTATCCCTATTAGTTTTAATAATTGTAATAATTAAGAATTAATTTTTTTAGTATAAATAAATAATTTTTGATCAATATATACATTTTTCTTCCTTTATTAGAGAAAAATAATCATGATGCTAAAAATTCTACAGTATGATATGACCATTAATACATAATAGATTTGTATACAGTATGCTTATTTGGATGGGATGTATTTAATCAGCAGTTACAATTATTATGAATCTAGTGAGCAGTTATGTTACTTGCTTTTCATTATTAAAATACCAATTTACTACAAGTATATATAAAACTTTATTTTGTTGTACAGTTGATATTACAATAATTAGAATTGCACATTAAATCATAATATAGAATAAATACTAATAAATAAATTTTTGTAAATATAATAAATTGTCTAAAATTTTAATCTGAAGTTGAATAATTAGTTCTGGTCATAATTCTAAGCATCTGGTTACATAATGCAGAATAAGGGTTCATTTGAATCAATTGATTCTTTGCAAATAAGCTTCCTAATTCCGCAGCCTTTTCATAATTTATTTTGGCCTCTTCTAAATTCTTGTCATGTTGATAAATTATTCCCCTTTGGGTAAAACATTGACATGCAATATTATTATCAATATTTCCATTTAAATCAATTGCTTTGTTTAAATCCAGCATTGCACCTATAGATGGAACAAAATTTTATGTAATTGACTGAGCAATTATAAATATTTACTTTTTATATCATGTTGTAATTGAAATATTTGAGCCCTATTATTATAAAGTGAAGGATTTTTAGGAGATAGCTTAATGGCCTGATTGATTATCTCAAGAGCTTTTTCATACTCCTTAGTTTCTGCTAATCTAATTGCTTTTAATTCCAATTCCTTAATTTCATCGGCTATTAATTAGAGTTTTTTAAATAAAATTTAAGGTAATTATTATTTACTATCATTTGTAAAATCATTAAAATTAGAAATTATGTTTGAAGGTGGAATTATAATGTTTAAAATTTCTTCATCTGTTAACATTCTAGTATTTTAAAATATTAAATCATTCATTCATAAAATGGACCTTTCAAAATGAAGATATCTTTTTTTCCAAATACGTGATACGTGATATATAGCGCATATGCTCTCTAACGTTGAGTATCAACAGAGCTACGCTAGGTTTTCCTCATTCCATCTAATTGGAAACAAAGTTAATTTGGGTATTTAAAAATAAAATATGAGGAGCCCTCCACACGTTTGTGGGCAAGCCGCACGAACTTGTACCCTCAATATTCCGAAGAAGTTGCAGACGTCCATAGGCTTAGAAACAAAATAAGCGGGACAAAAAAAGAGCCTATTCCCAAGAACTGCAGTTTAAGTTAATTACTTTAAGGGTGGGTTATGGCTTATTTTTAGTTTAAGATTTTTATAGAAATTAAGATGAAATAAAGTACATACCAATCCAGCTTGCTGTCCTAATTTGGAAAACGTCCCTTAGTTGATTTTGGTGAATAAATATTATTTCATTTGAAATATCTTTCCTTTATCCTAAAGAGTTTTTTAATGGACTTTTTGCAGTTATTTAATTTAATAAATTGTTTCATATTTAAATTTAACTCCATTATATCTTTTATGGTCTTATAGTACCAGAGGGATTTGTATTTTGTATATTCTTTTTTATTATAGGTGTAAAGTCAAGTAATAGCATCATGAACAAGATTTTGATCAGAGTTTCTTATGATATGGGCCAGGAATTGAATACGGCGTTTCCTCAGGGTGATGTGTATCGGAGTATGCTTAGATGCTCTCCATAAATTATTGTTTGATATAACCTTCGGATAAAAAATTCCATTTATGATTCTAAGGCAGTTATTTATAAAGGATTGGAGTCTCCTATTTTCTGTTTTATTAAATTCCCATAAGTCCCCTCCAAAAAGTAATATGGGGATGATTGTAGAATTGAAGATTCTAAGTCTGGTGTGAATAGAGATCTCCTTCGTCTTCCATAACTTCATATACTTGTGAAAAACCCCTTTTGCCTTTTGTATTCTGGTTAGGTTTTTGCAAAACTAGCCACATGCGGTGTTGGACAGGTCCTCCGGGAAAAGAATCTAGATACAGATACTAGTATCTTGTTTAAAATATCAAAGAGATATAAGATAAAGAATATTTGTATCTTTAGCTAAATGAGAAATTATCATTATCAATTAAATTAAAATAGTTTATAAAATATTATTTTTATTATTTATTTGTGAAGAACATAATATAATATACTCATATAATAAGAATGAATATTTACAATATTTAAGAAATATTTAATGATGAGTTAATTATAATAATCAGGCATTTTAATAATAGTATTAACCCATTCTTAGCGTAGACATAGAGAGGGAAGGGGTGCTAAGTTAATATGTTGGAGTTGAAATCTTAATTTGCAAAAGAATATTTAAAATAGATTCGTTATTTTATAAGATAATCAAATTTTTCAATCTTTTCCTTTTCGGCGTACTTAACATTGTGCTAAAACTAAATAACTTTTTAACTGTAACTAATGAAGGTTGCAGTTTTATATTTTTAAAAAATTTCCTTAATGGGAGGATAATAATTAAGAATTTCTAATGTCGGCGGCCCTTAGACAATTGTAGGGGCGAACAAATTTTATAATTTTACTCAATTATTTTTTTTTATATACAACTTATTGTCAAATACGTATATTGAAAGAAAAGTTATTTATAATTTAAAGATAAACAGTTAATTTGTATTGTATATTACCCTTACATCCTAAAGCCCTACACAGCCTTAACTACACCCGTAGTCAAGGCCATCATCTCCATCATAAAGCAATCAACAAAATCATCCATAACGCATTTAATAGGGCAAAAATTCCCAATATACTCGTACCAACTAACCTTTCATTACAGGATTGCCTCCGACTTTAACCCTCTGGTATAACGACAAATCCCTTATTTGGGACGCATCTTTTCCTTTCCTTCCTCAATTAATTTTAACACTCTAAGTACCGGGGAAAATAAAAAAATTAATAAATATTCAAAACTCAATAATTTTATCTTTCATAAAATCGTTATATCAAATAACGGTAATTTTACCCAGTCAACATACCTTTTTAAATTTTATCGTGGAGAATATTTAATAAAAACGAATATCGCGAGTTTATATTTCTCAAACAAAAACTTCAACTTGAAACTTTTAAACATAGTTATACTTATTTTTTAGGAGCACACTCATTACTAAATTAAGCTCTTTTTAGAGCCTTCTATACTTATATATATATATTTATTTTTATTTAGTAATTTTATATATTTTTATAAATAGTTAATTATTATAATTTTTAAATATATATCAGGGACGAAGCGTCCATAGAACAAGGGAAGCATTGCTTCCCTTGAAATTTTTTTTACAAAATTCTTAGATAATATAATCTTTATACTATGCTAAAAAAACAAAAAATTACTTCCTTAAAATAATTAATATATTATAACGTTAAAAAGATTTATAATATTTTACTACGATAAAAAATTTACGTTAAAAAATTTACTATTATTTTTACTACGTTAAAAAATTTACTATTATTTTTACTACGTTAAAAAATTTACTATTATTTTTACTACGTTAAAAAATTTACTATTATATTAACTACGTAAAAAAATTTACTATTACAAGGTAAGATATTATAATAAAAACAAAAAGTTAAAAGAATGAAACAGTATGTGTCTTTATTTTTACATAATACTTAAAAAATAAATGACGATTCATTAAGGTATCGTCCCTCTAATTCGTATGAAAATTTAGGAAATAGGTTTTTTGTCGTAATTGCAATAGTTCGTTCCCAAAAAAAAATAGTTCGTTCCCAAAGTAGTTTGTTCCCAAAATAATTATGAAAATCCAAGAGATTAATGCTAAATCGCAACAATTATCAATAAGAAAATTGTAAAGTATATATTATTTAATTTGCATATAATAATTAATTTTTTTAGAAAACTAGGCAAAACAAAGAGTGCATATAAACAAAGCTATTATTCAAATTCTAATAATCAAATGGTTCAATATAGTTTGATTAAATCAAAATACAACAATAATATTATCTATTCTAACAAAATTTTAATTCAATTTATACATTATCATGCAAAAAAAAGAGATTGCATTTTTATATATTAATTAAAATTTTTATTATGAGATATTTCATATAAATTTTAATAATGTTATATCAAAGATATATTTATAATAAAGAGTTTGCTAAAATATTGTAAATTATCTGCTATTTATATCATTTTTAAACAAAGCTATTATTCAAATTCTAATAATCAAATGGTTCAATATAGTTTGATCAAATCAAAATACAACAATAATATTATCTATTCTAACAAAAATTTAATTCAATTTATACATTATCATGCAAAAAAAAGAAATTGCATTTTTATATATTAACTAAAAATTTTATTATGAGATATTTCATATAAATTTTAATAATGTTATATCAAAGATATATTTATAATAAAGAGTTTGCTAAAATATTGTAAATTATCTGCTATTTATATCATTTTTAAACAAAGCTATTATACAAATTCTAATAATCAAATGGTTCAATATAGTTTGATCAAATCAAAATACAACAATAATATTATCTATTCTAACAAAAATTTAATTCAATTTATACATTATCATGCAAAAAAAAGAGATTGCATTTTTATATATTAATTAAAAATTTTATTATGAGATATTTCATATAAATTTTAATGATGTTATATCAAAGATATATTTATAATATAATTGTGCTGTCTATTATATATTAATGGATCTAGAGCATTAAGAGTTTGCTAAAATATTGTAAATTATCTGCTATTTATTTTTTAATATATACTGTTCTTGTATTAATATAAATATTAATTACCATTTAGCCATTTAAATTTAATTTAAAATAAAAAGCATTTTTTAATTTATTTGCCAAATCTGTTACAACGTTTCAAAATTATACAATTTTATAATCGCTTCAAATATATTTGTGGCCATTTTAGGTCATTTGACGTTTTTTCACAAATGTTCATACGATCTAGTGGACCCAATGACATATATTATATGTCATTGAGTGGACCCTAACCTTCATTAATATATAACAAAACAAACACTACAAAAATACATATGGTAAAATTTTAATGTAATTTTTTTGCATTTACAATTTTAATATTACTTAAATTTTTTAATATAAAATACAGTTTATTATTTTTTTCAAATGTTTAATATATGACAAATTTTATATTAATACAAATAATACAAATTCATTTACATCAAATCCTGATCCTGTTTATCTAATTCACAAATGTTTAATATACGACAAATTTTATATACTAACACAAAATACAAATTCATTTACATCAAATCCTGATCCTATTTATTCTAATTCAATACCTAATATATCTGCTACAAATAATTCCCATTATATCAATTCTCCCTTATTGTATAAAAATATTGAATATAGCCAGAGAAAAAATATTTTTCTTAGACGAGACAGGCATAAATTTACATGTTGTACCTGTTTACGCCTGGGCACCATACAATGTTATGCCAACTGTTAAAGTCCCACCATCTAATGGTAAAAATTTAAGTATATTATGTACTATGGGAATCGAAGGTGTCATACTTTATCGCATCATCGAGGGAGCTTATAATAGTCTACTATTTCGAAAATAGATGATAGAACTAATTATTATCATACCAAGGGATGCAGTTATTGTTATAGACAATGCATCCATCCATAAAAGTCACCTCATTAATAGTTTTAAAGTGCGAGTAGCCCCTATTCGCCTCAACTTAATCCAATAGAGATTTTCTTTTGCGTATTATAAAACAAATATAGGTCAATGAATCCCCGACCAAATACAAGAAACGAAATCGTTCATAATGTAACATCAATTCTTAATGAATTTACTATTCCTTATGACTTTTCAAGTTATTATAATAAAATGCATCAATATTTGGATATGAATTAAGGTAAATTTATAAAAATATAATTTATATTTAAATATATTTTAAAGGAATATAGAAAATCGGAATACATAAAGAAAAAACGAAAATTAAAATAT